GCTTTCAATGCTTTGGGGAAAATATCTAGGAGTAGAATTGCTGGTTCATATGGTAATTCTAACTTTTTGACGAACTACCAAACTGTTCTCCACAGCAGCTGCACCATTTTACATTCCCAGGATTGAGGGTTCCAATTTCTCCACATCCTCACCAAAACTTGTTTCCCACCCCCCACTTCTTTTTTAAAATAATAAGCTGTAATGGGTGTGAAATGGTATCTCACTGTGGTTTTGATTTGCATTTTGAGATATTATTTTTTCATGTACTATAAATTTTTAATTAAAAATTATTTCAGAAAAAGAAAGTAAGGGATCAGTATTTCTTTTCTTCATCATAGACAAGAGATACTTTCTTCATTGCTAAACTCTGTGGCAATGCTTGCTCCTTGGAATAAAAGCTATGACAAACCTAGACAACGTATAAAAAGCAGAGACATTACTTTTCCAACAGAGAATTGTTTGGTCAAAGCTATGGTTTTTCCAGTAGTCATGTATGGGTGTGAGAGTTGGACCATAAAGAGGCTAAGCACCAAAGAACTGATGCTTTTGAACTGTGGTGTTGGAGAAGACTCTTAAGAGTCCTTTGGACTGCAAGGAGCTCAAACCAGTCAATCCTAAAGGAAATTAGTTCTAAATATTCATTGGAAGGACTGATGCTGAAGCTGAAGCTCCAATACTTTGGCTACCTGATATGAAGAGCTGACTCATTAGAAAAGACCTTGATGCTGGGAAAGATTGAAGGCAGCAGGAAAGGGGGACGACAGAGGATGAGATAGTTGGATGGTATCACCAGTGCAATGCACATGAGTTTGAGCAAGCTCTGAGAGATGGTGAAGGACAGGGAAGCCTGGTGTGCTGCTGTCCATGGGGTTCCAAAGATCTGGACTCAATTGAGTGACTGAACAACAACAAAACACTGTGGAGATTGAGGCCAGGGCTCTCTTGCTCACTGTTGCATTCCCAACCCCTAACAAGGTGCCTGGCATCTACTGGGAACTCATTCATGAGGGTGTACACTTGAGGAATAAATGGCTGCATTATTCTCCCAATTTATGTATGATTGAGGGGAATAAGTCATGAAGAAGTGTCATCTTGAAAAACAGACACACACATATTATTCAACCATAAAAAAGAAGAAAATCCTACCATTTGGCACCATATGGATAGACCTTGAGGGCACTATGCTAAGTGAAATAATTGTACAGAGGAAGATAAATACTCTATGATCTCACTTACATGTGGAATCTAAAAACACAAAACTTGAAAATGAGAGTAGAATGGGGGCTGTTGGTGTCTGGGGGCTGGGGAAGATGTTGGTTAAAATTACAACCTTTCAATTATAAGATGAATAATTTCCAGGGATCTAATGCATAGCATGATGACTACAGATAACAATACTGTATCATATACTCAAAAGTTTCTTTACTGTTTTCACCATAACACAAAAACAAAATGGTTATTATGTGATGTAAAAGATGTGCTGTGCTGTGTGTTTAAAAAAAAAAAAAGTCACTTGTCTCTGACTCTCTGTGACTCAGTGGACCATAGACTGCCAGCCTCCTCTCTCCATGGGTTTCTTCAGGCAAGAATACATGGAATGGGGCATGGAGTGGATTTGCCATGCCCTCCTCCAGGGAATCTTCCTGACCCAGAGGTTGAACCCAAATATCTTACGTCTCCTGCACTGGCAAGTGGGTTCATCACTAGTGCTACCTGGGAAAAGACGCGTTAACTAACCTTATTGTGGCAAACACTTCTCAACATATACATACACAAAAACATCACACATTTAAAACTTACACAATGCTATATGTCAATTATATCTCATTAAATCTGGAAAAAAAATCCACCCAGAAGAAAAAGAAAAATACAGATACATAGTAATTTCTGAAAAAGACGTCATCATAAATTTGGAAGTCTTGAGTAAACAGCATACTTCTAGAACGATCCAGGATGGCCAAGAAAACATAAGTGATGCTACTTACGGTTTTAAGAAAGGCAACTTCGGGGCCAGTATTCATCCATCTAGGTTGCCAGCTAAGGACAAGGAACTTTGCAAGTGTACTCACATTATATAACCAGGGATTCTGTATTTCTTGAGTTTCAGGTAGGATGGATGATGAGAAAGATACATGCAATCAGAACACTATTGTACCCCTAAAGTCTTATCACTATTTATATGCTTAAGAGTCAGCTACTAATATTAATCACTTTATCATATTTTCTACAACAGAGGTAAATATTTGAATTTTTTCCAATTAGTTCTTATATCCATGAATGAAAATCACTTATTATAGATAGCAATCATCCATTTGATTTTCCCTAGCTAAAGAAGATGCAAGCCATTCATCTTGTTCTCCAATCCCTTCCCACAAGTTTAAAGTGCAATAAACTACTCTCTCTACTCCCCAAGATGAGACCTTGTCTCAAAGTCACTGAACTATTGCCTCGACAAGCCCCTGATAATCTTTGTGGTGGAGGAAGGGGGGAGAGAGCTAGTTGATGCTAACAGAAGGGCACCAAGATGGGAGTTTCCTGCATTCCTTTCCTCCTTGAGTTACACATGTAAATTCTCCATGCATGAGTCAACTGGAGAGCATAGAAGATGGCCAAGACTTCAGTCCCTTGCTATCACTCCCCAAGAAGCTCCTCTAGACAAGGATCTCCCAACAACAAAAGGCTGTATGTTAGACTACCCCTGGCAGGGATGGGAATGTCCTGGAGAAAGAGTTGAGACTGACCTCTCCTACCTTAGAGAGTGCACAGGGGAGGCCCTAGAAAGCAAGGATGTTCCCAGTCCAAGTAAGAGAGCTGGCATCTGGACTCCTGACACATTGGGAGAACCATACTAAAGTAGCAAAAACCAGAAGAAAAAGAGCAGACAACTCTTTATAGACAGTCTTGCAGAGAACACTCTTTCTCCCTTCTCTTCATCCCTACTTAGCAGGACCAAGAGCTAAGGGGAGAAACCTAAAGATGCAAGTGAGTGCAAGAATTATTTAGGGGGTAAAAGAGACAGGATTTGTTGACAGCATAAAGCTCAGATTTCTGACTTGAGCAATTACTGGCTGGCTACCCATACCACCAGTCCCTGAAGGAGGGAACACAGAGAAGAAACAGGCTTTATTTTTGGAGAACAGGGTAGGGGGATAGGTATTTTTAAGTTCACTTTTGGACATACTCAACTTGAAACGCCTGTGAGCTTCAACAGACATTTGGATACTTTTGGATACATTTGGATACATCAGGAACTTTGAAGACAGGGCTGGGCTGAAGCTAAACATATGGGAGTAACCACCATGAAAATTATCATTAAAGCATGGAAATGGTTTAGATTGTTTAGGGAAAGTATGCAAAGGTCATGAGGAACACTATGATTTAAGGAGTGTTAGAGGACTTACTACGAAAGTTAGCTAAGGAGAATCAAAAGAAGTGGTAACAGAGATGCAAGTCACAGAAACCCAGAAAAGAAGTTAAATTAAATGTTTAATGGCATTTGGTGAAGATAAAAAATTTAATGAATCCCTTCACAAGGATGATTTCAAACATACCACCAGAACATCTGAAATCTGCTGGCCATTGACCATTGCTGGCCTGGCCTGTGGGTTTTTGACACAGTGGTCCCCACAACAGCAGCACTGGCTTGACATCACCTAGGATCTTGTTAAAAATGAATTGAGGCGGCCCCATCTCATACCCACTAAATCAGAAAATCTGGGGTGAGGTCCAGGAGTCTGTTTCAATAAGCCTCTTGCTGCTGCTGCTGCTAAGTCACTTCAGTCGTGTCTGACTCGGTTGCAACCCCATAGACGGCAGCCCACCAGGCTCCGCTGTCCCTGGGATTCTCCAGGCAAGAGTACTGGAGTGGGTTGCCATTGCCTTCTCTGAACAAGCCTCTTGGGTGATTCTAATCCTCACTAAGGTTTGAGAATCGCTGCTCTAGACGGTGCTTAGATAGCACCTGATAGCTATCCCTTTAGGAACCAATCCCCTTTCTGATAAACTCATTTTCCTTTGGATCTGTTAATAACATTGTTGCCAAATTGCTAGATTCTGAGCAGCAAGATTGGGTCAACACCACAGATTTATTGTAACACAGTTCCTATCCTATACCAACTACTGACCACTTCTCCTTCCACTGGGTTATCTTTTTTGCTCTTCATCACATCTAACTATTCACAATGTCTGCTCCTTCACTGCTTCTCTGTGGGCATTTTTTCCCAATCTCTGATCTTGCTATCAACTGAACAAATCTCTAAATCTCAGTTTAAATTCCTGAGTGACACAGATTGTTGGTGAAACTCGCAAATTGGTACAATTTAGTGTTCTGCCTCATTTATCGAAACAACAGCAACAGCGCCTTCGACTCAGTAAGTCCACTTCTGGGAAGTGATCCCACAGAGGGGCCTGCACGTGCGCACAAAGAAGGGGGCCTTTCTCCGCCTACTCAACCAAAGGCCAGCTCACCCACCCTCAGTCAGCCCCCGCCACCAAACCGCACCCCGCCAGTCCAAGCCTGGGTCCCATCCTCCAAGGGCCTCTCCGGGTGAGTCCGTTGAAGCCCTTACGGCGGTCAGAAAGGCCTGTTCACACCTCATTTCACACTGGAGTCAGTTGGAAGCAGCGGGGAAAGCCCTCNCCGGGCTCCGCGCTCAAGCCCGAGAGCGGCTGAGGCTGGAGAGTGGCCGCTGAGCACATGGACGAGGTCCTGGCGCGCCAGGTGCGGGGGCCGCTGGAGCCCACAGCCGGCGGCGCTCCTCAGGCCAGGCCGCGGGCTGCCCAGAGCCTTGGGCGGGGGGCGGGGACACACGGGGTCCTCTGGGGAGACCCGGACCTCGAGGCGGGCGTGCGGGAGCGCGTAATTGTTTGGCCTGTGGTGTGTACAGATGTGTGCAGGGAGGTAACAGGAGCCCGGGCGGGGAGGGAGGGAAGCTGGGGCCTGGGCCAGACGGTGGCCAAGCTCCAGGGCCTGGCAGTCGAGCGAGGGGCCGGGTTTTGGAGTTGTGCGGGAGGGCGGTTTATGGCGCTTCGCAAACATTTACCAAGCTCTAAAGGAATAGGGAGGGAAACATCCACGGTTTCTTTACCCCTCGGGCTGGTTAGTCTTTGTCCTTCTGCCTAAAGTGGTGAATAAAACATCTGTGGTCCCTGCCTTTCTAGAATCCTCCACAGATATTTATTGAGCCCCTACTATGGGCCAGGTATGCTAAGAGCTGGGGATGCGATGAGGAATTCTACATTCCTGGCTTCTGTCTTAGAAGGTGATAAAATCTACAAGTAGCTATAGAATATGCAAGGGATGGGAGGTGGGCGGGGCTTTCTCGGTATCAGGAGACTCTCAACATCAGACTTTCAACAATCTTCTCAGCCTCCTAAAGCTACCCCCCAAAAATAACAGAATTGTCAAGCTGATGTTATTTGTAAACGCCTTTCTTCCTATGTAAATATTTCATCTAGACAAGTCCAGCTTCTGCTCCTTCAATCCCCTTCTCAGAGTTTTTAGTCCCTAAGCCTCCACTGTGAGCCACTTCTGTCTCAGTTATAGTGTTAAATCTAGGAGGTCACTATAAGAATGAATGGCATGCAAAACCAATTAACTTATACTGCTGTGCTGCCACGGTTCAAGCAAGAGGAATTCTCTATAACTTTCAGTAAAGAATTTAGAAGAGATGGACAGACAAGAGATTTTCAAGGTAAAAGTGACTGGATGTCCCTAGTACAGTGTGGGGAACATACTAGATACATTTGTTGGATGAAAAAATGGTTGACGGAATGGGGGAGAGAGCAGTTCAGACAGACGTTTGATGGTGAGAGTGAATGTAAAAGAAGCAGGCTTGAGGTGGCAGAAATGCTGCATTCACTTTGGACCTCAGAGGACTTGAATTCTGGAGAACAGTCAGGATTGGAGAGATGTGGTAATTATCTAAATAGAGCACTGAAGGCCTAATTATGTTTGAGATAATCAAGGGAAAGAATATAGAAAGAAAAAAGGTGGAAGAAAAAAGTACTGCAGAATAACCCTCAACTGCCTCTCCTAATTCTTCCTCTTCCCTCCTCCTCCTTCTCTCAGTCCCCCTTTAACTTTGTACTTCCTACCAGCTTTGCTTTTTTCTCCCAAGGAGTGTCCACCTCCCGTCATCCTGGGCCAGCTTCCTTCTTCAAGTGCCCAGATGTCATCCTTAGCCAAGTCTGTGGTATGTGCTATAACCCTCTTGCACATACATAGGGGTGATCACAAGCTTCCCCTCCTCCTCTGTGACCACTCAATCAAACATTTTGAGTTGGAGCCATTTAACTGAAGAGACGTGAAAGGCACGTTCCAGAGTAGCACCCAATGTAAATCTCGCTTCTCCAGATATTTCCTCCAGCTTTCTCAGAACTCCTGGCTGGTTCTCCTTTTATCCTTCTTGTAAGTTTATAAGGGTGGTAGTATAACCACACAAAATATCAGAGGCATTAAGAGACTCTCAAGGTTATAGAGCCTAAAGCACCTTTGTCCAGCTTTTCCTCAAGGCCCTGAGGTCAGAGAAACTTCTGTTTAAATCCCAACTCTACTTTCCAATCCGCCCAACAGCTCTGGGAGCTTTGGCAAGTTCTGTTGTCTCTTTCAGCTTCTGCATTTGAGAACATTAATTAATTACCAGGCAGGACCCTTAGAAGGTTTTTAATGAAAAGATACAAGGACAGTGCCCAGCATAAATTGATAGCTTTTGCTACACTTTATGCTGTTTTCTCAATCTTGGCAAGCAATGAAATAAAAGAAACAAGTTTTGTGATTTTTTTTTTCTTTTTTGCAAATATTGACTGAGGGGAAACAACTTGCTTGAATTCAGAAAATCAGAAAGCCACCTCCAATGCTGAAGTTGATGTTTCTGAACTTCTGGCTCTTAACCTGGGCTTTAGACTTCAGTAAGTTGATGAAATATGTCTGTGTTTTTTATATTTATTGCTTCCCCCTCTCCCCTCCCACCCCCCACACACTTATAAAAGCAGAACATGTTTAGCTAATTTTGGTTGGCCTAATTACAAAGATTAAGAAATGTATACAAAAGAAAGTTTAAATTGCCCTTAATCTCACCTTGCAAAGATAACCAATGCTAACATTTTGAAGTATGCCTGCCTAAACTGTTCTTTGTGAGTGCCAGGGTGCGCTCATATATACCCACGTGTCTCCCACTGTGTTTTTGCAAATATGAAATCTTGCTGTACTTCTCTTTTTTTGTTTGCCTTTTTGTCTTAATATACTTTTCTACATCAACAAATATACATTTTCACCAATATTTATAATGTATTTCATTGTACAGATTTATAATTACATGTACCTTTTCCTATAAATGGGTGTTATGCTGCCATTTCTAAACTTTCTCTATTATAAGACAAGTCAGAAATTTCCTAATAAGTAATCTTTGTACCTTTGTTCATTTGTTTGTTTAGGATAAGTTCCTCTTAGAAGTGAGATTGCTGAGTCTAAAGGTATGCCCTCTTTGGGGACTTTCGATATATATTGTCAAATTTCCTACAGAAATTGTACACCAATTATATTCTCACCATACCCCTTTCTCTACTACCTACTCACCCCTAGATATCGTCAATTTACTGAATACGTAAATAATTATGGAACACTTATTATATGCCAGACAGTGTTGTTGGCATACAGTTGCTAAGATTACAGCTAAAAATACAAAATCAAGTCCTTGTTTTTGTGGAGATTTCATTTTAGTCAGAGGGAGACAAAGAGTAAACAATCGCATAGGTGTCTAACACAGAGCGTTAGAAAGAAAAGTAAGGCATTTTCGGTTTTTCAGTATTTGCTGGTTTGATAGCTAGATTCTGTGAGCTGTCATGGTTTTAATTTTTTCCTTTGGTTGTAGGTAGTGATTCGTTCTCTCATTAAATACTTGTTGAGCCCATGCTCTGCCCATGGGTACCAAAGGTGAACAAGGTGACAATGAACCTATGTTCTAGTGGGGAAATAGCAATAAAGTAAAAAATAAGTGAACAGTATAATAGAGAACAATTTGGGTGGGTTTGGGAACGTTAGATTGTGTCTTCAAAGAAGGCCTCTCTGAAGAGTTAATATTTGATCTGAGACCAAAATGACAGATTTGTTATGAGAAGATCTTGGGGAATAAAGTAACAGCAAAGGGTGTGGCAAAAGCAAAGATTGGAAGTAAGAATGAGCATGACTAATTGAAGGAATCAAAAGGCCAGTGGGGCTAGAATGTAAGTGACAGAGTTGGAAGCGATGAGAAGTATATAGACTTATATAGACTATATAAGGCCTGTAGCCCACGATAAGGAATTTGGATTTTATTCTTATATAATAAGAAATCTTTGAAGGCTCTTAAGCAGGGGAATAACATGATCTAATGTACATTTTTAAAAAGTGACTTTAGCTACTGTGAGGAGAAAAGACTGTAAGGTAAGTTGACCATATAATTTATCATCCAGATGGGGATCCTTTTGCAAATGAAAGAGGTTGCTAACTGGACAGAGTGTCAAACAACAGGCAAAAACTGAAACTGTCCCATACAAACCAGTTTCACCTTACTGTAAGGGGACAAAAGTGAAATCAAAGAGATTTGTCTTGGAGGTTGCAGCAGTAGTCCAGACCAGAGATCATCATAGCTTTGTAGGTGGTGCGACTGGATAACTGGAGGGATATGGAAGGTACCAGTGAAGTAAAATCAGCTGGTCATAAAACAGCAGGACCCTGTGGTCATTGCTTTGTACATCCTCTGCCTGCCTTTTGTCTGTGGAAAAACTTTAGCTACATAGTAAGTTTAATCAGAGAAGGGAGAACATGCAGAAACAAAGGAAAGCAGTCAAGGAGACCAATGATAATTTAGTCCGTAAACAAATTCAAGGACCTTTCCTTCCTTCTCAGGCATTATAGATAATATTCTGAGCCAAATCCTGTGAGCTGTCTTCTGGTTACTGAAACCCCCACCAGGTAGAAGTTAACCACATAATGACCAGACTGTAACCATGACATAAGCTGCCACAGTTCCAAGAACTGGCTTCAAGGGAGTGAGAACAAACCAACCCTGGAACTGAAGACTAAGTGTACTTAAAACAATCAAGGTGACGCTGATCAGACCACTGATGACCAATTTCAAGATAACTGTCAGAGCTGACTGTACAGTTTCTGCATGTAGGCCCTTCCCTCAGCCTATAAAAGCTCTTGTCCACTGATTTTCAGGGGGTGGAGTTGGCCTTTGGACAGGTGTCCACCCTCTATACCCCCCCATACCCTAGCTGCTGGCGTCCAAAATAAAGCAAACTTTCCTTTCCAACAACCTTGCTTCTTTATTGACTTTTTGAATGACAAGCAGCCAGACCCCACTTTTGGTTACAGTCCCAATCCTTGGTTGTAGTTAATGAGGGAAAGGGGGGAATCCTGCATGATGTCTTGGTTTGTCCCTAGCAACTGGATGCAAGTTGGTGTCAGTCATTGACATGGGGACGTCTTGGGGAAGAACAGGGTTAGAGGAAAGATTCATGAGTTCTTGAATGTAGTGTGCTATATATGTGTGAGTGTGTGTGTATAGTTTATGTGAGTTAATTGCCTGTTCTTGTCCTGTTGGACTTTCTGTGGATTTTTTGTGTTTTTTTTTTGTTTTTACTAACTTGTCAGTTTTACTTGGACTTCTCAGGCGGCGCTAGTGGTAAAGAGACAAAAGAGACGTGGGTTCAATCCCTGGGTTGGGAAGATCCCTGGAGAAGGAAATGGCAACCCACTCCCATACTGTCTGGAGAATCCCATGGACAGAGGAGCCTGGCAGGCTGTAATCGGTAGAGTCAAACACAACTGAAGCGACGTAGCCCAGTTTTACTTACATAATAAAGACTTTCTATAGGTTGGATTGGGTCCTCCAAAAAGATGTGTTGAAGCCCCCGCTGCCACTGCAGAATGTGACCTTATTTGAAAATCAAGTCATTGCAGATGTAATCAGTGAAGATGAGATTACAGAAAGTAGGGTGGGCCCTTAGTCTGATATAAGTAGTATCTTTATAAGATGTGAAGACAGAGGAAGAACACTGTGAGACTTTGGGAGTTATTCAACTACAAATCAATGAACACTAGAAGGTAAGAGAAGGGCACAGAACAGTTTCTTCCTAGAGCATTTAAGAGAACATGGTCCTGCAGACACCTTAATTTTGAACTTCTGAGCCTCCAAAACTGTGAAAAACAACAAAAAGACCAGGAACAAGTCAAGGACATCCTCTGAGACCAATGCTTTTCAGCATTGTACTGGAAGTCCTAGCTGATGTTATTAGGCAAGAAAAAGTATACAGATTAGGAAAGAAGAAAGAAAATTTTTACTCACAGATGTCATAATTGCCTATGTAGAAAAAACCCAAAAGAATTAGCAACCAAAAAAAAAAAAAAACTAATAAGTAATAATAGCAACGTTGTAGGATGCAAGGTCACTTTACAAAAGTCATCGCTTTCCCGTATACCAGCAATGAACAAGGGGAATTTGAAATTTAAAACATACTACCATTTACATCAAAACTGTGAAAATTAAATACTTAAATATAAATCTCATAAAACATCTATGAGAGAAATCTATGTGAGGAGAACTATAAAACTGATAAAATATATCAAAGAAGAAATAAATGGAGATATATTCCATGTTCTAGAAAAACATCTGCTTTATTGAATACACCAAAGCCTTTGACTGTGTGGATCACAACAAACTGTGGAAAATTCTTCAAGAGATAGGAATACCAGACCACCTGACCTGCCTCCTGAGAAATCTGTATACAGGTCAAGAAGCAACAGTTAGAACTGGACATGGAACAATGGACTAGTTCCAGATTGGGAAAGGAGTACGTCAAGGCTGTGTGTTGTCACCCTGCTTATTTAACTTATATGCAGAGTACATCATGTGAAATGCCAGGGTGGATGAAACACAAGCTGGAATCAAGATTGCTGGGAGAAATATCAATAACCTCAGATATGCAGCTGATACCACCCTTATGCAGAAAGCAGAGAGGAACTGAAGAGCCTCTTGATGAAGGTGAAAGAGGAGAGTGATGTTTAAAACTCAGCATTCAAAAAACTAAGATCATGGCATCCAGTCCCATTACTTCATAGCAGATAGATGGGGAAACAATGGAAACAGTGACAGACTTTATTTTCTTGGGCTCCAAAATCACTGTAGATGGTGACTGCAGCTATGAAATTAAAATACACTTGTTTCTTGGAAGAAAAGCTATGACCAACCTAGACAGCATATTAAAAAGCAGAGACATTACTTTGCCCACAAAGGTCTATCTTGTCAAAGCTATGGTTTTTCCAGTAGTCATATATGGATGTGAGTGTTGGATTACAAAGAAAGCTGAGCACTGAAGAATTGATGCTTTTGAACTGTGGTGTTGGAGAAGACTCTTGAAAGTCCCTTGCACTACAAGGAGATCAAACCAGTCAATCCTAAAGATATCAGTCCTGAATATTCATTGGAAGGACTGATGCTAAAGCTGAAACTCCAATACTTTGGCCACCTGATGAGAAGAACTGACTCACTGGAAAAGACTCTGATGCTGGGAAAGATTGAAAGCAGGAGGAGAAGGAGACAGCAGAGGATGAGATGGTTGGATGCATCACCAACTTGATGGACATGAGTTTGAGCAAGCTCTGGGAGTTGGTGATGGACAGGGAAGCCTAGCGTGCTGCGGTCCATGGGGTTGCAGAGAGTCAGACAATGACTAAGTGACTAAACTGAACTGAATCCATGTTCATGGAAAGGAAAACAATATTGTTAAGATGTCAGTTCTTATGAACCTTATCTATAGATTAAATGCAATCCCAATCAGAATCCCAGCAAGTTATTTTGTAGATATCAATAAACTGATTCAAGTTTATATGGAGAGGCAATTTGTTGTTGTTCAGTCACTTAGTCATGTCTGACTGTTTGAGACCCCATGGCACGTCAGGCTTCCCTGTCCTTCATTATCTCCTTGAATTTGCTCAAACTCATGTCCATTGAGTTGATAATGCTCTCCAACCATCTCACCCTCTGCTGCCTTCTGCCCTCAATCATTCTCAGCATCAGAGTCTTTTCCAGTGAGTTGGCTCTCTGCATCAGATGGACAAAGTGTTGGAGCTTCAGTTTCAGCATCAGTCCTTCTAATGAATATTCAAGGTTGATTTCCTTTCGGATTGACTGATTTGATCTCCTTGCAGTCCAAGGGATTCTCAAGAGTCTTCTCCAGCACCACAATTTGAAAGCATCAGTTCTTCAGCACTCAGCCTTCTTTATGGCCCAATTTTCACATCTATACATGACTATTGGAAAAACCCCATAGCTTTGCTTATGTGGACCTTTTTCAGCAAAGTGATGTCTATGCTTTTTAATATGTTGTCTAGGTTTGTCATAGCTTTCCTTCCAGGGAGCAAGCACCTTAATTTCATGGTTGCATGATTTTGGAGCCCAAGAAAATAAAATCTGCCACATGTTTCCACT